AACCTTCAGGGTGGATATAGCTCGCTAGCAGCCTCGCACCGAGGACCTATCCACGTCATCATTTACCCAGAATGCTTTGCGTGTAAAAAAATGGCTACGTCCATGTTAAAATATATTTTTAAAAATTTACAAAACTAAACAGCCTACAKTATTTTTACAGTCTTTATTTTACAGTTAAAATATATGTTTATCAAATAAAGTTTATTTTTACAACTAATCGGGGATCCCTTTAATAAAACTGACATGCTGAAATGCATGTCCAACAGTTGTACTTTTGTTTAGAATATGAAAACCTAAATATGAAAATAAAACGTTTGAAGCAAACAAAAAATAAACACATTTAAACATATGAAGGAAAAATGTACTGTAATTGTTTTACTTCAAAAGAGAAGTTTTTGACGACCCCCGGCTGGGGTGTCCTTTAAAGTGCTGTTTTGTGATGGGAAGCCAAGCCGTTCCCCGACATTCAATTCATTTGTAATACATGTACTATATTAGCAAGATGAAGTGCAATGGCTTGACACTTATTGAGTGCAGAACTCATGTGGTCCTGGTAAAAAAAAAAAAGCTGTTGTTTATGTAAATGCGACTTCAGTAAACATCTCATATTTAGCTTTACAAATAGTGGTGACTTACAGTAAATTAAAATCCTTCATGACAGTGTCTCTAAGCAGACTAAACACAATTTCTTTGAAATTATGTGAACATAGAACCTCCCTCTCAAAATAAAACATATATTTTTTGGAAAAAAAAAACATAAAACTTTTTTTTGGGATGGGGTGTCATTGGGTTGGGCTTGGACATTGAGCTTTAAATGTCTTCTCATAACTAAGCTATAAGTTTTCTTACTAGCATCTGCATCATTCTGCAGGGTCTGGAGGCTCACAAGTACAAAAGCACTATGGACTGTGCTGTTCAGATCATGAAGCACGAAGGACCAATGGCGTAAGTACTTTTCAAGGACCAGAAAAAAAAACTTTTTCTGACTTTTTTTGTGTTGGTTTTTCTCTACCATTTTGGCTGTTTTACAGTAATAATGCTAATAAACATTTGAACTTCATAGTCCCTATTTTTGGACTTGCTATGGTATAGTATAGATAGAAATATCAAAGAGATAGATATCAAATAGAAAAAAGAATGAAACAGAGTATTGTGTGCTAGTGATTTGACATCAGCCGCTTCTCACTCAGCTGCAAATTGACAGTACTTAGGTCCATAAGTTCTAAAGCGCAAATGCTCAAGGAAGCTTAGCGGAAGCTAAATCTAAAGCACAAACTTGTCTCAAGAGTTCAGCAAAAATATATTATATATGAGGCATTCTTGTGCAATACTGCCTACTAGAGGCATGACAAATTGCTTTCACAGAATGATACATGTCATTGCAGTTTGTGGAGGTGATTTGTTGAAACAGACTTTTGGCTCATGGTGTTAAAAAAATTGTTGTGGTTTGCTAATTCTGCTGCCGCTTGGTCACTTATGTCTACATCAGGGCTTCGATGAGAAAGCTTGCAATATATTAGTAGTTTTAAACTGTTTTTGGAGAACTGAAGCAATGCATTCTGGGTACAGGACGGAGCATAGGAAATTGTCTTCACTTCAAAATAAGAGCATAAACTTAAACTGTTCTATGTACAGTATGTCTGCGTAGCTTGGAATCACCAGCCTCGGCTAACCGTTCATTCAGTTGTTTAATTTTGTAGAAAAAAAGCAGATCACAGACATGACAAAAAACTAAAGACATTTCAAAGAACAAACACGAAAAGAAATCAACAAAAAAATTGTGGCAGTCAGTAACATTTATTTTTATTGGCCAAGCAGAGGGGAAAAAATTTGGAATCACTCAATTCTGAGGAAAAAATTATGAAACTGTAAGAAAATACGTGTTTAATATCGGCTGAGTCAGATGAAAACACCAGTGTTAAATAAAATGATCTG